TTAAGATCATATCATCATCAAAGAGTAAGTGAGTTAGAACAGGGCCATACCTGGACATTTTTACATCCTTCCAACTGTCGTTAGCTACTTCCTCCTTGATCATTTGGCTCAACCTATCAATACAAAGGACGAACATGTAGGGAGAAATGGGTTGCCTTGTCTAAGTCCTCTCTTTGGTGTATTCTAATCTTGTTGAGCGCCTTTCCAAAGGATGCCAAGTCTAGTAGTGGTCACGCACTCCATGATTATTTTTACCCAATGGTCTCCTATCCCAAGGTCATTCAGCGTGTCACGTAGGAAATGCTAAGATAATCGATCATACGCCTTTTCCAAATCAATCTTCATAACCATTAACCTTGTTCCTCCTTTTTTGGTCCTCATAGTGTGTAGGAGTTCCTGGTAGATTGCAATATTGTCGACAATCTGTCTCTTGGGAACAAAGCTACTTGTTCTACACCAATAATATTTGGCATCACGCTTTTGAGCCTGTTAGTAATGACCTTTGTCATTACTTTGTATTTGACGTTACATAGGCCGATTGGTCTAAACTAACTGACAAACGCAGCTCTGGATGCTTGACCTTAGGGATAAGGGCAATTAGGGTGTCATTCCAGTGCTCGGGCATCCTTGCGTTTGTGAAAAACTCCTTCACTTTATCTATCAAATCCTGTCCTACTGCATCCCACGCTTTTTGATAGAACCCGGCTTAAAATCCATCAGGGCCTGGGCCTGGGGCTTTATAGGGTGCCACGTCGAAGAGTGCTCTCTTTACCTCATCAGTTGTGACATTCCTGCAAAATATATTAATCTCGTCATTAGTAAGCCTAGGACAACTAGTGTTACCATACTTGGTGACTTCATAATCCTGCTATTCTATAAAAAAACTTGTAGAAATGGTCCTGAACCATTTTCGCCATTTCTGACTCATCACAGATCCATTCCCCTTCAGAGTTTTTTAACCCCGAGATACAAGTTGTAGCTTTCTTCACTTTCGTAATTGCGTGGTAATATTTAGTGTTTCTGTCACCCGACGCGATTGATTCTTCTCGTGAGCGCTGGTGCCACTCCAGTTCCTCTAAATATAAGACATTATCCAGCTCAGACCGAAGTTTGATTTCCAATTTGATCAACCCGCCTTTTTTGCCATAATCTTTTGCCCTTTGAATTCCATCTAGTTGATAATTCATTTTGCTAAGCCTCGACTTTCTTTCGCGTGTGCTCTTCTACTATCACGCGTGAGAGAGCTAAACAGTGAGAGGGTCCCTCGGATTGTCGTTCTCAAGGATGGCCGGTCGGAACTAGCCCTAAGTTGCTAAGGTCGGAAAGTAACAACTGCGTCATTAATTGCAAGCAAGTTACGCCAAAACAGGATGATTAACGTCGTAGTTGAAGCACAAAATGGAAACTAACAAGTAAACAACAAATAGGAAACAAGTAGGGGTTGGATTGCTTAGTGTGGATGAAGATGCTTAAGGCATCATTTGACATAGGGAAAGAGGAGTCCATTGCTAAGTCAAGAGAGTGACTTATGCCCTTTCACAACGTAGGTTACTAGGGCCTTGTCTAGGGTTCACCTAAACCTTTCCACAAACACCTTGCTTTCAACTCTTTCATAGCCAAGCCCTGAAGGGTTCCTTGAGCTAAGAAATGCTAAGGATAGGAGCTTGGATTGATCTAGCATAGATCAATCCCTCAAACACCATAGGAGGTGATCAAGTTCCTAGGATTCAATCAAGTCAATCCTCAACAACAAGACATACAAGCAATGGCATCAATCAATTCCTAATTTAGGAAATAAGTCATGAAAGCATCATCAACACACACTTGCACAATCCAAACCCTAGCTAATCTAGCCTACCATACTCAAATTAAACACAAAAGCACTCATGAATCTAAGCAAAGCAAAGCAACATAGAAATGGAAAATGAATAGAAATTGTACCAACAAGTAGATTAACAAAATGAAAGTAATCTTGCAAGATCCTTGAATTGGAGTTTGTCAAGCTCTTCCTTCAAGCAATCCCTCTAGAAAATCTTCTACAAAGTGTTCTTCTCCTAGATCTATTTGCTAAGCTATCTATTTCTCTTTCTAAAATCTCAAAAGCTCCCTAAAATCTAATCTAAAAACACTTTAAATAGCCTCCCCTTTCAATTCCTTCCGCAGCTCAGTCCAATGTGCCCCGCAACGCCCGAGCAACGTGCGTTGCTCGGGAACTTATTCTCCCCAACGTCCTGCGCAACGTGCGTTGCTTGGTGCGTTGAACTTTCTGGAATTTCAGCTCGGTTTCACTCCTCCACAACGTGCACTGCAACGCACATTGTGGCTGAGTTACTCGGTCCCGGCTTGTCTGATCTCCTTATTCCGCTTTGCTTCCGGTTGTGCCACTTTGCCTCGTTTAAGCCCGAAACTTACCTGAAAACTTGTAAAACACAAAGTGCGGTGGTAATTTCCAAAATAATGTAAAACATAGCTATTTGGCACACAATTGCTAAACAAAGAATTACTTTAAGCCTAAAATTCACTCTAAAAGGACACTAAAAATGTGTGTCTTTTGGCACTTATCACTAGTCTAGCGATAAGCCTTTTACGTTTTTTTTTCAAGGTCTCCTATTGTTGTTTTGCTCCATTCACTCAGACTGTCTTGGGTGGCAGCGAGCTTGTCATCAAAAGTTTTTTGACCTGTATTTTTCCAACCTTTTCTAACAATATTCATGAAGTCCTCCTGAACAGCCCAAGCCGCTCTAAACTGGAAGCATCTTGGAGTTTTTGAAATATTCTCTCCATTTACAGTTAACATTGGGATTATGATCAGACGTATAGCTCGGTAAATGTAGAATGTTTGCATTTGGGAAAAGATCAAGCCAGTCCTCGGAGCAAAGACCACAATCTAATCTTGCAGCCTTCATAGTCTCTGTGCTTTGGCCTCTTCTCCATGTATAATTTGCAGCCATCATCCATTTCATCATTAGACACCCAAATCTCCTCCACCTTCTCGTCCGGCTTATTGCCCGTAACCGTATCTTTATACGATAGGGGGCTTGGAGGAGTGTTGGTTTGCCTCTCCCCTCCGGCTTGCACTTCAACACCTTCCTCAAAGTTTGTCGGCGATGAGGCAATTGTTTTCGACTTCTTAGTACTCCTTTCCAGAAGATCTTGGTCCTCCGCCGTCATAGCCACTGAAGTGCTTTTCCGCTGACCGTCCGACACCGCTTTCGTAGAAAGCATTTTCACAAGACTGTATTCTGATTGAATTTGAATTAGTATAACTAGTTTATTGTAATCCCTCTTTGGGTATTCCCTTTCCCTTTTCTCCTTCACATACACATCATTAGTCCCCTCCATTACTCCCATTGCGTAATTGAAATAATTGTAATTTATTTAGTAATATATTCTTATTAACTTTTGTTATTTTAACACATTTAGAATTAGTATATTGAATTTTGTTATTTAAAAATTAAATTTGTAAAATAATTTTTTTTTTTAGAGAAATGAAGAAAAATTGGAGAAATGGAGAATAAAAATTTAAAAACTGTACTGGATAAATGATGAATAAAAATTAGAAAACTGTGAAAATGAAAATTGAAAAATAAAAAAATAGAATAATAAAGTAAACGATACATTTCCAAAGGTGCAAAGATGTGACAATTTATGCATAATTAATGTAGCGCCCAAGCCACTTTGTTACACATCTCCAAGGTTACCTACATCGTTATAGACATTTCCTACACTAGTAGTCTAGTGCATAGTTTCTCAAAGTTTGTAGAATTTTTCGGAACCTTGTAGATAACACTAGTGATGTAGAGAACTGTACTATAGAATCTTTTAGAACCTTTTAGAACGCATAGGATTGTATAGAATTTTAGGGAAGGTTTTACATATAGAATTATATCCGTAGAATCAAAGTAGATCGTCACCGTCTATTGAGGAGGTGGAATGATATAAATACCCCTCAAGGATCTCATTTTGTAACAACCCCAACAATAATAGTCCAAAGATCCAAGTTTCGAATAAACTTTACAAGTCATGATACGTCCGTGACAATAAGTACCCAACTCAGTTCTTACTTAAAAACTTATTTGAATTAGTTTGATAATACATGCATCATATCTCATTCTTACTTACAAACATATTTACTCTGATAATTTATGAATCATATTAAGTTCATCATAATCAGTTCTTACTTACAAACCTATTTAAAACCTAAACTCAGATGAGGACGTGGTGCTTATAACACAATAAGCTTCTTATTTGAATTATCTAAATCTATAATAAAGCAACAACTTGCTGCCCACAAAATTCTCCCACCCACAAAATTCTCCCGCCTACGTAATACGATTTAGCCTATTAGTTACTGTTTATTGCATTTTGCCCACCCACGTAAAACGATAGTTACTGTTTATTGCATTTTGCCCGCCCACGTAAAACGATGTCGTTTGCTTGCATGTGTATCCAAATTTCGGTGAATTAATGATATCTTTTTAAAGTTGTAGTTTCCAAATGTTTACCTTACCAATGCATTGGACTGCTGAGAACATGGATTTATATATATATATATATATATATATATATATATATATATATATAATAAATCCAAATCTAATCTAAATAAATAATCAATTATAAATAAAAAAAATTAAACCATATTACGAATAAAAAATATAAATCCATATTACACATAGTTACCGTAATACAAATCTAAATCTAAATTCAATTCAATCAAAAATAAATAAAGATTATGAAATCTAAATTTTGGAACTATATTAAAAACCCCTTGATATAATACAAACAAGGGAATGAAGGCTGCTGATATTATAAAGACCAAAACTATTTAAAAAATTAAAATATAAAAGAACACCAACATTTAATAACATGTTGGTGTTCCAAGACTGTGTCATCATGAAAACTCTTCGATATAAGTAATTCAAAACTCATATTTTTGCCTTTAAAAGGCTACCTTCATACTGTCCAACACCATTCTGCATCTCAAACACAGTACTGCAATGCCTTCCTTGTTCATTTATGTCAAAGATATCCATCCTCAACACAAGCTAAGAGGCATTAGAGTACGCTGTGTCAGGATATATGATGTGCCTGAAAAGAGGGGAGGTGTTAACATAAAGAGTATGGAATGTTTGTTCCATGATGATCAGGTAGTGTTCTAATGTTTTTTCCTCAATACTGCATTTTAAAACACAAGACATGGTACTAAGTATATACTGCATTGGTTTGTTTTTTGTAGGGTCATTATATACATGCCAATATTCAGGCGAAAGATGTTGTCAAATACAAAGAAGTTCTCGAAGAAGGGCAACTTTATGAGATAAAGAACTTCTATGCTATTACAAATTATTACCTCTACAAGGTCACACAACACAAATATATGTTGAAGTTCAATTATAAAACTGAGGTCAAACACATCAATTCTATAGGCTTTCCCCTTTTTATGTTTCGGTTAAGAAGTTTTGAGTCATTGAAAGATCCCAACGAAGTCAATGACAAGGAGCTTATTGGTAATACACTACAACTCTTACTATTACAAGTGTTTTTCCTTATAACAACTGCTTATAATCTTTGTATATTTTGCTGATATTATAGGTCGTGTGGTGGAGATATATAGTCCTGTTGACAAGGTTGTGGGTGGGAAAGCCACCAAATTTATTGACTTCCAAATCTGTGATAATGAGTAAGTTTTATTTTGAAATCTGTGATAATGAGTAAGTTTTATTTTGAATCATGTCTGAATAAATTCTTTGTATATTAGGCATGTTTGTCCTAAATCCTACCAGTACATAGTCATGTATTTGCTACAACTAATTTAGTAAACTTCATACCTACCTTAAACAGTGACAATTACTTAATGTGTACTTCGTGGGATTCTCATGTTGAGTTTCTACTGCCATACTACAATTCCAGTTCAAATGAACCAGTGTTGTAGTTATTCAATGCTGTAGGGCAAAGTTGGTTAGTGGTAAGTTTTCCAACCTTAGACAGATTTCATATTTTGGACTGGAATTTGTCAACACTGATATGTTTTTTACACTATTTTTTGTAGGTGGGGTCAGAATAACATCATCATATGATGTAACTAAGCTATGGTTTAATTCTGACTTTGATGAGTTCAAGGATTTCAGATCTCAGTAAGTATATATAATGCATATACTTACTGCCATCTACTAGGTGTTAATTAGTTAAATATTCTAAAAAAAATATCTTTTTTTTTTGGCAGGTTAAAAGTTCAAGAGACCCCTATTGAAAGTCTGAGCACTATGACTCTAAACTCCCAGTCCACAGGGATTGATAGTTTCCAAAAGGGTGAAAGGATTGTGTCTACAATCTTTGATCTATATAAGCTACAGGTGGTCAATTATTCCTTATGCATGTTTATTAGAAATCTTTTGTGTTGTATTTAGCATCTTTTGGATAACTATTTTTTCAGGATGGGGATTACTATGTGCCTGCTGAAATTGTTGCTATAGAGGCTTTAAGAGGGGATTGGTACTACATGGCCTGCATGACACCTGGCTGTAACAAGAAGCTTAGGAAAATTAATGGGGTTCTAAGATGTGAAAAGTGTGAAAAACCCTTTGAGGAAGGTACAACTCGATATAAAGTTTTGGTGAGAGCCTTAGACAAAACTACAGATGCCCCTTTCCTGCTATGGGATTGGGAGGTTTCAGAATTAGTTGGCATTCCTGCTACTCTGTTATATGACAAGTACAAAGAGGTACATCTCTTTGTTCTACCAAATTTATGCACTATCCTATAATGTGAATTTTAATTTTTACTAATCCTATTACTTATCATGCTGATGTTGATATCCCCACTGAGTTGGAAGTACTTATTGGTTTGAAAATGGTTTTTAAACTTGGGATTAAAAGGTCTCAAATGAAAGGGAGTAATCCAGCTTTCAATGTAATGAGAGTCCTAAGGGATGAGGAGTTATTATCTGCTTACTGTGCCAGATTGTTTGAAGATCAGGACAAAGATCTCATGTCACAGCAGATAGAAGAGGAAGAGAACACTTCTGAATATTCTGATGTATTTTTTTTGACCTACTTTTAGTGCACATACATATTGCATTTTTTAATTTTTTTTTCCTATTGTTTGGCAGGAAGCATCTAAAGAGGAAGAAGTAAATAGTCATACAACTACACAGGCAAAACAATCCCAAGTGAATGCTAAACCTGACTCACCTACTACCAAAAGGTCACTGCTGGACCAGTTTTCATCATCAAAAAGGGAGCAAAAGGTCAAAGAGGGCAGTCATTAAGAAGGAAAAAATGAACTGAATTAGTTGTTATGTATTTTTGAAGAACATTTGAAGCACTCTAAATTGTGCTGAATCTAGAGTGCTTTCTGAAATGCCCTAAACTGTTTTGTTGGTTATGTTTTTTAATTCAAACAATTGTCAGACTATTTCTGTTTTTTTTTTTTATTTTCTCACAATGCTAAGACTATTTCTTATTGGTTGCTATTATTGTCTATGTTTTATTTTCTGTTTAATTAATTTTACAACACAGACATCACACACTGTTTTTTAATCTACATCTTAACTATTTCTTGGTTATTTACCTAAGTTCATATTTTCTGATCCTATTGTATATTATGTGTTGCTATTATTAGATCTTTTTTTTTTCCTGTTTAATGACGTAGGATGGAAGCTCAAGAAACAATCACACAAATTATAAGAACTCAAAGGGAATAATATTCTTCTTCAATATCTCCAGGATTACAGAATATATGAATATATAGGCAACTCCCTATGAGAATGCAATGTTTTGAGAATGGAAAAGACATCTAGAGCCACATGAAAAATAAATACTTGATATAAATAAAAGCAACTAATAAATGCATGGGACTTGGGACTTGTATTTCAGCTGCCTGCATGTGTGAACGCCATCATTATCCCCTTCCTGAAGAAAACTCGCCCTCGAGTTTAGCAATATCTGAATACAGAGGCTCCGCATCAGAATGAAATTGGAACAAGTCAGCCACATTAAAAGTCTTGGGAATTTTCCACTCATCGGGAATGTCGACCACGTAGGCATTAGGATTGATTCTTCGCAGGATCTTGAAAGGACCATGCTTCTTTGGGCTAAGCTTATGATAAAAACCAGTTGGTAGTCTTTCTTTACGGAGGTAGACCATCACTTCATCACCAACATTGAAGAGTTGTTGTCGCCTTTTTTTGTCTGTAGCAGCCTTATACTTGGCGTTGGAAGCTTCAAGTTTGGTACGTACCTCTTGCTGAACATTCTGGACTTGTGAAGCCATGGTATCTGCTTGCTTGTGAATCTTTTCGGAGGAAGGCAACTGGAGAAGATCAATTGCATGCTTGGGAGTTTTTGTGTAAACAACGGAAAAAGGAGACCGACCAATGGAGGAGTGCATAGAACTGTTATATGCAAATTCAGCCTGAGCAAGAGCAAAGTCCCACTGTTTGACGTTCTCATAGCAGATACAACAAACCAAATTTCCCAAGGTTCGATTTGTGACTTCAGTCTGACCATCAGTTTGCGGGTGAGCAGTGCTACTAAATTGTAAACTTGCATCAAAGCGCTTCCACAAGGTAGTCCAGAAATGAGATAAAAATTTTGTATCTCGATCAGATGTGATTGTGCGTGGGACACCATGGAGTCTGACCACTTCTTGGAAAAATAAACGAGCAATGTGAACTGCATCACTAGTTTTCTTGCAGGGAATGAAGTGCGCCATCTTTGAGAAGCGATCAACAACTACGAAAACAGAATCAAACCCTCTTTGTGTCCGTGGCAACCCCAAGACAAAATCCATGGATAAATCTTCCCAAATATTTTCTGGGGTTGGCAATGGCATATAGAGGCCTGTATTTTGGGAGTTCCCTTTATTTGTTTGACAAACATAACACCGTTTGACAAAAGCTCCAACATCACGTTTTAGTTGAGGCCAAAAAAACTGTTCTTCAACAGAGACAATGGTTTTATCTCTACCAACATGACCACCCAACCCGCCAGCATGCAAGTCCCGGATTAATTTTTCACGCAAAGAGGTTCGAGGAATGCAAAGGCGATTACCTTTAAAAAGATATTTGTCAGAAATGTGATAATCTTCTACTGGAGTATTCTGCAAAACTTGTTTCCAAATAAGATTGAAATCTCCATCTTCGGCATATTGCTCCTTCAGAACTTCAAACCCGATAATTTCACCTTGCATTACCACGAGTAAGGATCTGCGTCGGCTAAGTGCATCAGCTACGCGGTTGGTTGCTCCTGATTTATGCTTGAGAAGGAAGGTAAATTGTTCAAGATAAGCCGCCCAACGAGCATGCATTTTATTGAGATGTTTCTGGCTCCGAAAATATTTTAATGCTTCATGATCTGAGTAGATTATAAACTCTCCTGGTCTGAGGTAATGAGCCCAAACATGCAGTGCCCGTATAACTGCATAAAGCTCTTGTTCATATGTAGACCAATTTTCTCGTGCAGCACTCAATCGCTCACTAAAGAAAGCAATAGGTCGACGATTTTGAGATAGTACTGCCCCAATATGATGTTATCACATCTGCGCTTGTTTTTATGGTTATTTTGAATCATCATAGTAATTAAGTTCTTTAATTTTGCTTATTTAATACAGGTTTTCCTTGCTATTATCATTTAATTATGGTTCGTACTTGTTTTGAATGTTTTACGGTGTTTGTTAGTGTTTTTGAACCATTGTAGGTCAATTCTATGAGTAAGGGAAGTTCAAGGATGAGTTTGGAGCAATTTTGGATGAGTTCAGGGCCCAGAGGACTCGACGCGTCGAGCCAAAGGCTCGACGCGTCGAAAATTTCCAGTAGTATCAGAAGTCGAGACCAGCAGGTCTCGACGCGTGGAGAATTGGCTCGACGCGTCGGGCGCAGCAGGTCTCGACGCGTGGAGAATTGGCTCGACGCGTCGGGCGCAGCACGAAGTCGCGAGATATTTGAGTCCAATTTGAGTCCAATTTTGTACCAGATTCCTATTTCGTCTCAACTTTATACCTACTATAAAATCCCTCCTTCCTCAACCCTAAAAAATAGACCGGGGAGAGATTTTTAGAGTTCTTTGTAGACAAGAGAGAGAGAGATCAAGAGGCTCAAGTCGTCTTTGGAAGCAAGGAGGAAGCCAGGGAGATTTGGGAGAATCGCTTGGTTAATTCTTGTACTCTTCTGATGATTTGTAATCATTTATTCATATTTGCTATGTATAATTTAGCCATGCTCGGCTAAATTCCTTAGGGATTTTTGGGTGAATTTGTTTATGAACCTATGTGCCTAGTTCGTTAATTTCTTAATATATTTATGTTTGGTTTTATGATTTGTGTTGCAATCTTGTTTTAATCTGTTGTTGTTGGTGGTTAAAGGCCTAAATTACTAGCTTCACAGTCATGTTTGTGTCACCAATGGGAGTTGGGGCATAAATTAGGGCACACACGATTGCACCTAATGGTTGGTCCTTGGGAAAGGGGAACTTATTAGGGGAAGTTTATTCTAGATTATTGCTCATCGGGAGATGGTAGTAATTAGGAATAATTGAATGCTGATCTTTGATCTTATTGGGTGTTTAAGCCATGGGAGTGGAAATTCACTAGGAATAGAGATTACGGGAGTAATTCGATTCCACTTTGCATTCCCATACAAATCTTAATTCCAAACCAAATATTACAAACGTTAATTGGCACTAGGTGATTAAACATTGTGATCCCAAGAATCCTATCTTGCTCTATTGTCTACAAAACCTTGTTACTTATTTTATTCTGCTTATTATTTTATGCAATCAATCAACCTTCAAGTTTTGTTCGGATTAGTTTCATATGAGTAACCTAGTAGCTAGTGATTAGTACACCACCTCTCTGTGGTTCGACAACCCGAATACTCCGGGTATTATTTGTTTGCCCCAAATTACAGCAATCACAATACCAAGTCCACTGGCATCACACTCCAATTCAAAAGGTTTTGAAAAATCTGGGAGAGCCAGGACAGGTGCTGTGGTGAGTTTTTTCTTGAGTTTAGTGAAACTCTGCTCAGCTTTCTCCCCCCAACGAAAACCACCCTTGCGAAGGCAATCAGAAATAGGAGCAGCAATAGTACTGTAATTTTGTATAAACCTTCTGTAGAACGAAGCTAGACCGAGGAAACTTCTACTTCACTTACTGACCGAGGCCTAGGCCAGTCTCGTATCACTTGGACTTTCTCATCATCTACGTGAACTCCTTCTGCACTGATTACGAATCCAAGGAAAACCAACCTTTTTGTCATGAAAGAGCATTTTTTTAGGTTGATGTACAACTTATTTTCACGCAGGACTTGCAGGGTAATGCATAGGTGCTCCTTATGCTCCACTTGATCTTGGCTATAAATTAAAATGTCATCAAAATAAACAACGATGAACTTTCCAATAAAAGCTTTAAGGACTTGGTTCATGAGTCTCATGAATGTGCTTGGGGCGTTTGAGAGCCCAAATGGCATAACATGCCATTCATAAAGTCCATCTCGAGTTTTAAAAGCTGTCTTCCATTCATCACCCGGCCTAATGCGCACTTGGTGATACCCGCTCTTTAAATCAATTTTAGAAAATACCTTTGCACCATGGAGTTGGTCTAGCATGTCTTCAAGCCTTGAGATTGGAAAACGATATTTCACTGTGATTTTGTTAATGGCTCGGCTATCCACGCACATCCTCAAACTTCCATCTTTTTTTGGGGTAAGCAAAGCGGGAACGACACATGGACTGATACTTTCTTGAATTTGTCTCTTCCGTAACAATTCCTTCACTATGTTATTGAGAGCTTCACTTTCAGCCGGGTTCATGTGGTAATGAGGAAGGTTTGGTAAGCTAGCTCCAGGGATCAGATCAATCTGGTGTTTTATGTGGCGCAAAGGGGGCAAACCATCTGGGAGCTCATCTGGCATTATATCTTCAAATTCCTTTAACAAAGATTGAAGCTCACCTGGTATACAATCAATAACTGGCCCACTATCTTTTGTTATCAAGACCAAGACACTGCATGTATCCTTGGCTTCCTCCACAAAATGTTTCCATTTATCCAGAATGGTTATAGCACAAGTTTTCTGTGTTGGTGACTTGGCCCAAACAACTGGAGGGATGACAATCTTTTTCTGATTCCAAAAAAATTCATAAGTATTTAATTTTCCTCGATGGGTAGCATCCACATCATATTGCCAAGGCCTACCCAGAAGGATATGGCAAGCATCCATATCAATGACTTCGCACACCACATAATCTTCATAGCTTTTCCCGATTGAGATTG